CACCCCCACCCCACCCCCATGAGACCCAGAGAGATTCTTTAAGAAATAAAAACAAGACACAGTTGTAAAAAATTGGGCATATTTTCAAAAAAGGCAAAGGTATGCTGAGAAACAGTAGGAAATATCCACCCTAGTTTACTTTTTAAAAAATGGATATTTATAGGAATGTGCAAAACTCATAGATTTGAGAATGGAATGTTCTGAAGTGCTCTGGAACATTCTGTTCCCCCTCTGATATCATGCCATTCTAGGGCTGATCCAATATTTTCCAGAAGTAACAAGCCTGTTCTGGAGCCAGAACACCTCTTGAACATGTGAACTTGTCCTTCAAGGCCATTCCCTGTGTCATCTACACTAGACTTGGATGTGGGATCTCAAAGCTCCAGCCTAGCTTAGGGTTTGTGGGCTAGTCCTATCCTCAAGTGGAAGGGTAAAGCATGTGTGTGATCCACTTATATTGGGTTGGAGCACACAACTGTCTGGTTCTAGTGGACTGGTAGGTTGTTGTCTAGCAAGAAGTTTAGCTGAAGTACATATCTAGGCTTATGCCTATGCCTGCCTTTTGTAGCTGTAATCAATAAAGTTGTAGTCATTTTCAAAAAGTGTGTCTATTTTGTCTGATTCTCCCTACTGCTGTGCTACCTTCTAGAAATTATACACTATACTTCATGGTTTCATTTATTATGGCCAGAATGATTCTCAATCCTATACATAGTTATCAGCAAGTAAGTTTAATTGAATAGTATGATATTTGTTTCTAGCTTTATAGGTGATTTTAAGCTTTAATAAAGCATCTTCAGCAAATCCAGAGTATGTTGCAGAGAAATGAAATGTACTACTGAAAATGTTAGGAATGTCCTTATAGGAATTGCTTCTAATAGAAGAGGTCAGAAAATAAATATTCTCCAAATTATATCTGGAAGCTGCTGAACTGTCCCTGCAATGGCATGGTCCAGAAAAAGTATGGCATGATTTGAAGGAGGAACAGAACCTTCCAGTGTTCCCCAGAATTCCAGATTTCTCCAGAATGTTAGGTGTTTTTAATGCTTCCTTAACTCAAATATGTATTTCCTAGGTTAATATGGCTTACAGTGCACCCTTAAAAAAAAGTGTAACTTCTTTAAGGAGCAGCTGACAGATTGGGAATTTGCCTGGGTAGAGGCATACTTACTGGCTTGGATTTGAATACTGCGCACCCCACTACTGGTAACAAAAGCTGACCAACAGAGAAATAAAATTGTTGAAAGGAGGACAAGAGAGATTTGAGGTTTATGGTATAAGAAATTCAGGACCACTCAACTGTGGTCAGCTTTGTCTCCATTTTTCTCTATATGCAGGGACTACATTTCTGTGTGATTAAAAACCCAGAGTGTTAATATTAGGATTGTGAACATCTCTTGCCTTGGAGTCTCTTGCCTGGGCCCAGTCCATCAATTGTTAGGCTTTTTTATGTTTTTATCTGGACAGGCCCGAAGCAGAGGATCCCGACTGAATATAATCATAATTGCTGAAGGTGCCATAGACAGGAATGGGAAATCCATCACTTCTAACTATGTGAAGGAGGTAAGATACAAATAAATAAGTTAGAACCAGATATTGAAAATAAAATTTAGGGGGAAAAGCATTGTTGTAGGTTCTTCTAATTCTAGAAATATTTGCATAGATTACTGTGTTTCTTGGATTTTTTTCAGCCTTTGGATCTATCCTGAGAAACTTGGGCAGCTTTAATATAGATTCTTTTGTAGAAACTTTTGATCTGCAGCAGTCTCTGACTTTCTTAGGGGGAAGGGCATTGTGTTGGTAGGGATGCAAGGATATAAAATGTATCATCCTTTCCTTCCCTCTTTTTAATCAGCTGGTTGTGAAACGTCTTGGCTTTGACACTCGTGTGACTGTGCTTGGTCATGTGCAGCGTGGTGGAACCCCATCTGCGTTTGATCGTGTCTTGGTAAGTGTGACCTTTTCACAATATGACTAAATAATGGCCTCACACTGTATTTGCCTATTCAAGTCCCCCCAAATTTGCAACCCCCCTCACATCTGTTCACAGCCTCCCAAGGGGTCATGTATCACAGCTTGAGAACCTCTAGGTCAGGAAGTTTGACTCCTGAGGTTAACCTTTTGTGTTGTTCCTCCATGGTTTCCTCCTTTTGGAATAATACAATTCCTATTTTAAAAAGAGCAGTTGAATAGTTTGGTGTTTCCAGATCTTATTTTGCAGCCTGCAGGTTTGTTTAGTGCTACAGGATGGGAGGAGTTCTTACCCAGTTTCTGAAATAATTTGGCAGTGCCCTCCTAGGCATCCTTGCCTATTGATCTTATGCCAAGAAAAAGCATTGTCCTGAAGTAAAGACAGTTCTACCCTGATACTATCAAGTTCAGATATTCAGGGTAAAGCTAATTTCTCTTCTTCAGTTGGATGTCACATTCCAGGCTAGCTGTCTAACCGTCTCATATCTCTCTTTTCTCTGGGAAGGGCTTGTTCCGTGGCTGTGAAGCAGCGTGTCGGTGAGGGTGAAAATAGTTTAGAGAACAACTGTTGTGAAACAGGCACCAGATATTACTGCAGAACCTAACCGAGCAGGAGATAATTACTGTGTACCATAGACATTACCTGCCTCATAATGTGTGACAGTTGGAAGAATTTGTGTTTGACTGCAGAGGAGACTTTGAAGGCTGGTTTTTTTCCCACAAGGCCCTATTATGAGTCTGTTCTTTATGGTGACTTTGGTGATTCATGAGCTATATGCCTGCACAGAGCTCTTTCAGGATGTTCTATAATTTATCAAATTTATTAGCAGGAGCCCTGCCCTGTGCATAGCATGCACAGTTAGATGCAGCTGCTGCACAACCTCTGGCTTGCTTCCGACTACCACAGAAATAGCATGTTCATGCACAGACCTCATTGTTACTTCTAGTATGTGTACTTTGTCACTTTTTTTCTCTTTAATTTGTATTTAACTTTAATTTACCTTTTGTTCATTTGCCTATGTAGGATGCATATCAATCCCATTCATATACCTTCTGGCCTTGGACATAAGGCCCCATTCTACAAGTGCCAGCATTTTGGTAGCAAA